CTCAATAAGCACCCCAAAAAGGATTAGAATTTTGGAGTTAATATCGGTAATATACAGCATTTCTTCTAAGCTAGCTGCAGCCAAATCCTGCTTGAATTTGATTACATCAATGTTCTTAAAATCCCTATAGGTTATGAATTTTTCCTCCGATGAAACGGTTTTAATATTTAATTCACAGAATACTAGTTTGTGGTCAGATATCAGATCTGCATTTAAGGTACCAGAGTTGAGAACACTTTCAATATTATTTAAAAATATGACATCAGTTAAAGTAGAACTAAAACGAGAAATACGAGTAGGCTCATCGATGTCCTGCCTGAAACCATAAAAATCAAGACAACTGCTGAGTACATTAGTGGTATCGAACATATCAATATTCATGTCTCCAAGAAGAATAATGTCATATTGGGAAGAATGCACATTTTGCTTGAATTCTACCCTATGTCACAAGCTGTTATTGCAAGCTTTTATTTAATTTGATCTATTTAATAGTACGTATGATAGTATATATGGGGCAAATCTTGGAAATGACTTTTGAAAAAGTTAATCTTAACAAATCGAGTTGAAATGTTGCACGCACTTCAGTTTGCGTGACAGTACAAGATCCACCGACTGACGCCATTCATATGGCAGATGCTACATTAGTAACTGCTATGATATGGGTATCAAATGAAAGGGTTTGATGAGAAATACACAATGCGCAAAGTGACGTTATTCTAAATCCAATATGGCGACCACCGCAATGGCTATTTACACTTTTCATAGTCATCCCAACGACATGGGCATCAAATCAAAGGTCTTGATGAGAGAAACACGATAAGCAAATAAGGTCAGTCTAAATTCCATATGGCGATCGCCGCAAAATTTTAAATTATCAGTATATGATTTGTATCCCTCGAAATTTTTAATCAAATAGAGTAAGAAGTTTTATGAAGTCCTATTAATAAAATATATGAAAATGATGTAGAACTTGATAAAATCATAAATACTAAAACGTAGAAAAAAATGGCGTCAAGTAGATTCACTCTATCCTTCCTATGTCTTCGTAGGAGGTTTCAAAGAAAAATGATGAGTCAAATCGTTTCAAAAGACGAAATCGAATCGTCATTAGGTAGGTTCACTTAGGTACGATGAATCTGTATATCAAACAATATAAAGTAAATCTACCATATTTGCAATAATATACAACCACCATTTACAAAAGCATCGCAGAACGCTAAAGTGGTACGTACTCCTAGTATAGAAATATTGCTAAAATATATAGATATTTCTCCTGTAGTAGTGTGTCAGTGACGACACCACCACACACCAGTTGGAGCTTATTACCAATTGCACAGTCAGCAGAATTTTATGATCAAGAGCCTGGGAAAACGGAGCGATTTTTATTTTTTGGTCGCGGTTTTGGCCCTAGCTCCGCCCTACTAGATCGATTTCCAAAAACTACAAGGGTTTTTCATCCTTGGCATAACATTAACCTTTTGTGCAAATTTCAGTAAAGTCCGACCAGCACGTTATAGGCTATAATAAAACTGGCGGACAGACAGACCAACGAATATGAGTGACATTGTTTTTCATGATGTACATGTTATAGAACATTCAAACAACATAATATCACAATTTTTCGAGATTACATTACTTCCACGTCATTTTCGGCCTAGGAAGTAATAAGTAAAATGAAAAGATACATTTTTAAAAACAAGCTTCCATTTAGCTGATAATGAAACGACGCGAAAAAGACTTGAAAAAAAATCCGAATGTAAATGTTTGAACTATACGTACAGCTTAATTTTGTTGTTACTAGATGAGTTATATGTATGGTTATTCAGCCAGCTGTTGGGAAACATTTCACCTCCAATTATCGCGCTGGTAACACGTTAAGCCATTGGATCCTAGTTTGAGCATTTTCGCTTAGTGAGAGATACTTGATTTACTTGTCCTCCCCAACGCAGAAGGAAAGGTGTGAATTCAGTGGCCATTTGTGAAAATAATAAATCTTTCAACCCCCAAATTGGCCATGACACGCAGCTTATTGCTATAAAAAAACGGCTACAATTACGTCGGAATTTTTACCCAATTATGTTACTTTGTAATTTTTCATCCCGCAAAACAATATAGCACGAGGTTATTTGTCATTTTCGTCTTCTGCTGTTGTGGTTGGTTGACCACGGTTAGGATGCGATTTCTGCCCTTTTCTCCCTTGTAATAACCTTAAAGCGGTTAAAGGTCAGGGGATATGATGAATGAGAGACATAACTCTCTGTTCTGCTGTATTTCTAGGCACTGCTTCATTATTTTCCGATTTTAGACATGATGTTGCCCGGATTTTGCTAGGAATCATCAGGTTGGAAACTGTGGAGGCTTTGGAAGATCCTGGCATGATAAATTGTAGTCTGGTCTAGTGAAATTATTATACAGGGTGTTGCAGAATGTACAGTCGATCTCTCGGATTTATGTGTCTAAGGAGATCAGAGGTAAAATTCTTTAACTATGATTTCCAATAACCTTTTGACACAATAGGCAATATATCAGTAATATTAATATTAATTATAATGTTTATTGGAATAACGTATACAAAATCGTTATTTAACAATAAACATAAAATACCCAAAGTAGTTTGAACATGTGCTCAGGTTCACATGAGAATAAAGGTTAAAACACAAATAGGTAAGTTCACCAAAGTTAAATAATGGAGGAATTACAATGTAGTTATGTGCATAAATTTATGTTTCTCTAGGTATATAATTTGGCTCAATTATCCAGACAATTTTTGAAATTAAACTGATTGTGCTTAGAATATTCCTCATTAAACGCAGTTCAAATATAAATACACACATGATATACGAGTACATTCATTGCTTTAAGTTGATTTTGAATGTCTAGGAGTTTATGCATCGAGTGGTAGATGTATGATCCGTAGCTTGATTTCTTTTATACATTTTTCCGATGTTTTATTGATGCAGTAATATGGTTGAAAAATTCTGGGTATAAAAAAGGAGATCTTTGACCGATGGTTTTTGGAGATTTTCTCACAGGTACTGAATTTTGTTTAAGCAATAAAAGATTATGAGTAATTGATAAAAAAAATGGTGTCAAGTAGGGTGACTCTGCCCTTCCCACGCAATGCAATCATCATTTCCTAAAAGATTACGTTCGGCATGTAGGTTGACCCTACACTTCTGACCCAACGCCATCATCAGTTCTCAAAGGACTATAAATACAAGTAGCATAAGTAAGTTGAATATGAATACATTAAAAAAGAAACAACAGAAAAAGAAGAACAAGAAACCTAAATTATGTTTGTTGTAAAGATGATAGTACAAATATTTACTGTGTTTTATTGGAGACTATTCCAAGAATGTTGTTTTTTCCATGAACGTTAATCCATTTTTTATTTTTTTGAAGCTCAATATATCACGTAATTGTTTTAACTCATTTAGTAAACGGTCATACAATTTTGGAGCTAAATACAGGCGTAATCGTTTCATTGCACATTTTTGTTCTATATTATGACTAAAGTTCATTCAATGTAACAAAACAAATTGAAGACCAACCTAAATGCAAAATAGATCCTAAATTGGTACCTATAGTTTGAATTTCCCGGGTACAATTATGTTGACTACATTTTTCTGTGTTGTGACATTGAGCCGTATTCATAAAAGGGAAGCATATCCTCGGAGGCATAAGGTAAAAGTATAAGGTTCGGAGTAAAAGGTAGAAGTATAAGCATATCCTTGTCTTCGTATTCATAACGATTACCGTATTTTCGCGAGGATATCCTCCAAGAAGAAGTAAAAGGTTTACTGGTATTTGTATCTTGAGCGACATGTCCTGACTTGTTCCAGCTTGTAGTTGACGTGGAAGTTCGTTCACTCAGCATCACTGACAGCTGTACTCCAGAGCTTACACAGACAGTTTTTTAACAAATTAATAAGCATGTCATCCTCAAGTGATGAGAAAACTATAGAAAATAATGGCAACGACCTGCAGTTTAGCGCAGATGAAATTGCCATTGCTCCCATTATTTTGCAAAAGTCACAAGTAACAAAACTAAAAATGAGAAAGGACGATGCCTTGAAGAAGATGTTGAAAAAATACGGATCAACGTTCGGTAAACCATTAGATACTAAAAGCTTATTAAAAAAAATCAACTACATGAAATCAAGATTGAAGAAAAAAACGGATCTAAAAAAACTGCTTATAAAGCAATTAAATTGTTAGATTGGGAAAGAAAGTTGCTGAAAGCTATGGAAGGTGACTGTAATCCTACAATTGGGAAAATTAGAGGTGCCGTTCAGGTTGGTAGTGTTCAAGAAAAAGAAAGTGAACTATATACCGAGCGCAGTGAGCAAACAGTTAATATTACAGCGCCAGCAATTCAGAAGACATTGCTACCAAAAAGAAAATTAGCAACAGAGAAATACGAAACTGAGGAAACCAAAGGGTTAACTACAAAAGAACTGCAACGTCTAGTGCTACTACAGCAGTACCAAACAAGTATTTTACAACAAGAGTATTGCGAAACGAAATTAGAAATGATGCAGCGCCAGAAGTCACCTGTAACTTATGATGTTCAGGAAAATAAAACTTATTATAACTTACAAATACCCTTTAATCAGTAAAACTATTTATTATAATACTCAAGTTTCTTCTTACTTGTTGACCTAGTTGGCGGAGAGGAAGTTCGTCATTCTCATGATTTCCTTCATCTTCATCTGGGTCTTGTTCAACTAACTCAAAGTCAGGATCGCCCAAGCTCTTCGCAACATGGAGTACAATACAAGCAATAATTATTTTCGACACATTTTCCAACTTTACGCGGCAAACATACTGTAGGATAGGAAACCGGCTTTCGGTCGGCCGAAACAGCGTTCAATTATAACTCTTTCTTGTTTTAAAAGCTTATTATAATTTATTTCTGCACCTGGAGTGGGATTTCTGAAGGGGTCATAAGGCATGGCTCAATACCATAACCGTCATCGCCAAGTAGTACAACATTTGCTTTATTTATTACTTGTGGCATCACAAGTGGCTTGCACATTTAAAGTAGGTTTCCCTTTTCGGTTGATATACTCATCTCCATGGCGATTTGGTTTCAGGATTCCTATACGTGTAGAATCAGTTACACGAATTGTTGTCAGAAATTTATACATTCTTTGCCATATCCGCTTGGCCTCCATCAGTTCATGGATGGTAGTTGGATACTTGATCCATTCGTTCGACTGTGCAACTATGCTGTTCACAACTCTCTCCTCACTTCGAGATACCGTCGCTTGACTAACACCAAGTTCCTGACCAATACCTTGTTGATATCCAGGATCACCGAGATAGCGTAGAGATATCTTCATTTTATGTATACATGAAAGTGCTCCTCCTCGAGTTTCCTCATTCTCAACTAAGAATCTGTCCGCAAGCCATTGTAAGTTTGCTTCATCGAACTGATATAATTTTTTGAAGTCACGACCGAGTGAAGGTAAGCGAGGTTTGTACGTTTTAACATCCCTAACATCCACAATTTCCGCCATCATCGTTTGACCACCTTTCGTTACGAAGCTGAGTCTGATACTGACCACACTCAGAATTTTTGAAGGACATGCTTCCTATGTCAAGTATAAGGTGAAGATTATGGATATCTTTTTACTTATGTCACTGCTTTAAAGGATACGCTTATACTCAAAAAGCAACAGCATTTACTTCAAATTATTATAAATACCATCTGGAGGATTTCCTTCAAAATTTGCAAGTACAAGGATATCCTTTGTCTTATGAATACGGCTCAATATTTGCATTGAGATTTTTTCCAAAACTTTGAGGTATCCTTTTAAGCACTTTGCTAACATGCCGAAACCTCTGGGTCGACAAGCAAAATAATTCGTCATTTTTTGACGAAATACTTTGAGACCGAACGAGATCAAGAAGCTCCATTATTGCCCTTACAGTTCGTAAGAGAGGTATTAGATAGTAAATAGAATTTATACTAGCTCTAGCGTTCACAAAACATACGCTCCGTAATATTGGTTGCGGTAAGGCATCAAAGACAGAAAGTAGATTTTGTAAAACGCCCTGGGATCTAGCAGTTTTAATTAATGTGGCAACCATGTGCGTCACTATCATTATTTGACGTTGTGACGTAACTGCTTTGATTCAGTGAACAAACTATATTGAGTGAATAAACTATGTTTAACTGTGTCGTTTTCACTAATAACTTTGTGATTATGGGTGATGGTATGTAAGAAAGTTGTTTGGTATACTTGTAGGGGAGCGCGGTGTAATGGGAGTGGTCGGAAAATGGGAGCTATGGTGATTGAACGGAATGTAGGCAACTTACGTGATTGGTAAACATTCGGCTGCTTCCGCCACATTCGAGAAACTTCGTCTGACCGGTACGAGCCGTTAGTGCAATGAGTTCAGTCACGAGGGACGGTTGTTTTTCGCTGCGTCCTTATAAAAAATTGTGGATTGCCAGCGACAAGGTAAGCATGAAGCTTGATTATTATTTTATTTTGTTTATATTCATATCAACCGTAGATTCATTCACTAACTAGTGCAATTTGTTTAATTACGATTGGAATTAGAATTACATTATTTATATTATTACTTTTCAAAATGGTGGTCAGCGGGAAATGGGAGCCTAGAATGGCTCTCACTACCCGACATAGCTCCCACTACCCTACCAGCTTTTAAAATATATTTTCACACCATTTTACATACGTATTATCTGTGCTCGTGCATGACGCAGGACAGCAGCCAACTAACAAATCTCCTATTCCATCTACCTCAAAGCAGACAGTTAATAAACCATCGACTGCTAGCCCTGCTATGAGTCCATCTATTCTTTGTGACGCAGAATGTCAACCAGAAGTAGTTCAGGAGGAAGCTGCTGTAAGCCCAGCTCCAATTCCAACCATATTATGTGCAACACCAACACGAGCTGCTATTCGGGAGGAACATATCGTCAGATCTACCGCAACTCCGACAAAATCATATTTTAATGAGACCGATACTAATGACGATGAAACAGTAACTGACTTTGTTGATATTCTAAAAATTGTGAGCCCACTGCCACAACAACTCATAACTAATAAAGAAACGAGATTGAAGAACAAACAACATTCTGAAATTATAACAAGCACTCCAATGAAAGCAATATTTGAAGAAAAGAAGAGGAAAAGGACTGAAAAATAGAAGAATACTAAAAAAAATAAAAAGACTGTGATAAAGAAAATTGCACCGAAGGTAAATGTAACAAACGGAAACTTACCAAAGATAGAAAGGTTAAAAGCAAGAAGACCACAACCAGAAAGAAAGGGGCCAAAAAGGCAAAAAAAATTGTTTAATAGTGATGATCAAGATTCATCTGATGATCAAATTGACGAATGTACAATTTGCGACGACGAGTCAGAATACTCAGAAGAGGAAACTTTATGTGCAATTTGCTTAGACACGGGAAAAAGTGGAGAGATGTGGTACCGATTCAGAAGTTGCGGAAACTGGGCTCATGAAGAATGCTCTGGAAGTGATAGTCCAGCTTCTTATATTTGTACATTTTGTTTGGATCCGTAAAATCTGGGTCATATGTTTTTCTTTAATAATTTTATTTTTATTTTTCTTGTTTTTGTTTAAAAAGTATTTTTTTATTTGTGTTACAATGAATAGATCGTAGTAGCTAACTAAGATCACAGTCATTGAAAGTATATTTAGCTTAACTTTTGCGCAATACTAAATAGTATGACTCCCATTTCCCATATGAGCGTGAAATGGGCTCTCATTACCCGCACGTGTCGGGTAATGGAAGCGATTGACTTTTTTTGTAGAATCGGTATTGTACCTTAATATATGATTGCAATAAGTCCTAACAGTGATTAAAACATACCTGTATGATTATTCTAAGAGTTCCTAATTAAAAATTATAAAAAAGTTAATAAATGTGGTTTTTATGAAAGTTTTCCCTTAGTAGGCTCCCATTACCCTGCGCTCCCCTACGTCATCAGTTGGATATACTTTTGATTTATCAAACATTGATTTTAAAATTGTTCTTTGAAGCACGTCGAGCACAGTGCACCCCATACCACTATACCGTATGTTATGTGTGGCTCGACTGAAGTTGAATATATTGTTCGTAAATAGTATTCAGTTAATACACAAGTTAGAATTTTTTATTTTTTATGCTATGGATCTGATTTTCTTAAATATACTTATAAAACGTGAAAAGGTTATTATATTTTACATTATTTTTTATTTCCAGTCATTTGAATTTTAATGAAATTTATTTTGCGATGTCAAGTAGAAAATCAATAAATTAAAATAATAAATGGCTCTATTGGCGGAATTTAACAAAGCTATTTTTACACTCCACGTACTAAAAACTAAAGCTTAATACATAGAAATACATAGAAATATGATATTTTACGTATGCAGTAAACGATTCCATGTCTATGAGAATAACTTAAAAAAAGGAATGGCAATTGATCACAGGACATTTATTCATTAATCCTATGCTGCATTGAAACGGATGCCATTACCATTTGATATATCAATGTTCATGCTATAGATATGCGTTAAAGAGAGAAACTGCATTATACGTGAAAGATCTATAAAGAGTTAAGTTACATATAGAGGCATTGTAAAATGGTTTTGATAACTTATATTGACATTATTTATACTTGACCTAGGGACCAGCTTTTCTACGTTTAACATAATATACGATTCAGTGTTGTTAGGTCAAAATGTTTGAACAGAAGATTGATATTAAGCCATTGTAAAGGCCTGAAACTATAAGATATGTGGTTAAATTTACGCAACTCACAAACAAGATGGCAACAGTTATTCTGAAATCTCTGTAGGCGCATTTGAGTCCAATAGTGCAGGCATGGATAAACAAATATCAAACCATAACTGATAATCCGTAGGACTAAAGTTTCAGCTTTTTCCTCGTCTTGAGGTTAATAATCCACTTATTGGCATACAGTACTCGCAGTTTCAAACCACACATTTGAGATATTGTTTTAATGTATTCTTGGTAACGTAACTTGTCATCTATGATTAAACCAAGTATCTTACAGCTAGTTGAGAAATAAAGTTGTTGTTCAGCGCCTAGATATGATGTACTGCGAAAATGTCTTCGGTGATGAGTCATTCCTAATTTTTCTGTGATGTGGCTTAATTACACACAACGTGGAAACGGTGGTGATTTCTCGTAAAGCTTCTCAAAGTTCTTGAAAACGCATAAAACCTGGGAAATTAATTAATTCATAACTTTGAACATAACCTCTCTTCAGAAAGGACAGCACAAATAACCTGTGTAGTACAGCTAATAGATATTATACCTTGAAAATCGGTATCAAAAAGTTCGTCTAAATCAACAGTACTCTACCGAACAAAAAATTTGTTCTGGTGTACCTCAAGGTTCAGTCTTGGGACCCCTATTATTTTCATTATATATCTCAGATTTAGAAACAGAGGTAAAATCATGCAGCATACAATTTTTTGCAGATGATACTCAAATTTTCTGTTCATTTAGGAGTAATGACTTGGAAACAGCAAATAATAAAATTAATCAAGATCTTGCCCGAATTGAAAAGTTCAGTAGTAGTCACAATCTTCGTTTGAACCCTTTGAAGGCAAATATGTTGGTGTACGCAAATAGAACAAAAAAGAATACATTAAAAAAGGACATAGACATACATTTAAAAGGTAATAAATTAATTCATGTGGATCATTCGAAAAACCTAGGTGTTATAATAGATGATGACTTAAAATTTGTTGCACACATGAACTATCTAATTATTACTCAGTGCTACGCTATTCTCAGAGTTTTATTTACAAATAAGGCTATATTACATAAATCTGCGAGAAAGCAATTGTGTGAATCTTTCTTGTTTTCAAAGATAACGTATTGCTTAGTGGTTTACTATCCCTATTTAGATATTATAACAAGAAATCGTATTCAAAGTATTATGAATACATGTTGCAGACTTGTAAATGGTCTCAGAAAATATGATCATATATCGAATGGCTTTAATGAACTCAAATGGATGAAAATTGATAAAATGTATAAGTACCAGCTCCTAAATCTGACTCATAAGGTTCATAATTCAAAAACACCGTCATATTTAGTACACAAATTCATACGTAGAGGGAATATGCATGGTATTAATATTAGATATAGAGAGACTTTTTCAATTCCACGCTACAGCACATCTCTATTTCAGAACACATACATTTACAATGCGATCAAATCATATAATTCTGTATACCGCAGTTTAAAAGAAACCAATCCATTATCCAAATTTAAAAAAAAAGTGAAAGAAGTTCTACTTGATCAGCAGCGAAATCTGTTGTAACCCAT